TTTTTTTTTTTTTTTTTTTTTTTTTTCACATGGCAATTTGAAAGGATTCAGCGAGATACTCGATTCTAGGTAAACAAAGCCGAACAAGCGTATATATACATATATATATGCTTCAGCCTTTCATACTCCAGCAAGTATATTCGTGCACATGAAGCATCATGCAAAAAGGTATGGTAGTGAACGATATGGTATGATACTTGGGCACATTTTACAGGTATATATTATATAATATACAGAATTTGCATTGAGCATATTATTTTATTTTATTGTTTATCGGTAGAATTTACTCGTCGAGTTATTGAAAATAACTTGTACGAATTTTTGATTTTAAAATTTCACGAAAACTTGTTAAGCATTCGAGTGATAATTTATCGTGATACGAAACACAATGGTATCAATTGAAAATAATATTTGGTAAATGTTGTTTTAACGCTGTTTTAACTTAAATTTACGTAATTAAACTTAATTAAAGTAAATTTGAAATGTACTATTCTTCGTGTCACTTCGTTCACATTATGTCGCAGAGAGAGAGTATACATAAAATTTCTATTTTCACAAATTGACAAGGAACCATGTATGCGTGTTGTATGAAGATACTTGAAACATTCTATTTCATCGAAATTTACGTTTATTTTAATGTAGCAAAGAGGATAAGTTTTCGAGCGATAAAATGATAAAATCTCATACTGCATGTTGTAAAAAACTGAAATAAAGAAAAGAAAGGAATATTTCTTGCGATGAAAGATTTCGTAAACTTCATAACAAGAATATACAAAAATATTTACTGTGGAGAAAGATTCTTATGCAGGATCTTGATAGGCTTTATAACTCTTTTTCACTAGTATTCCCTCATCTCGAATATGTATTGTTAGGCCCCCTTACTTCTTCAAATACATACTGAAATTAAAGAAAATACCAGTATAAATTTCTTATATCACTAAGTAGCGTTTAAAATAGAACAGTTCCATTATACGATTTAAACATCTCAGAAAGCTCATACGCAGCCTCTCAAAATTTACAAATTTTTATCGTAAGAGAAACGTAAAACTACTCTCAACTTGCATTCTTTTTTTTTCTTTTTTTTTTTTTTTTCCAAAAGTGATGCTTTCAACTCAATCCGGACATCATCATCTTCGTTTGAATTTAACAAATTGGCAGAAATCACGTTACGGATCATTTTGTGTAACGTTATGTTTAGAAATGTATATCTTTAGAAAATAATAATAAACTTAAATTAAATTAAGTGAAATGAAACAACACGTTCAGAAGAATAAGAAGAATCTTTAACTCTTAGTATCAATAACTCTAACGAGTAAGTAACAACAATAAGTCGAGAAGACATAAGAACGTGAAACATGTAATGTAAAATTATGTTACTGTTTGTATATCATCCAAGAAAGGAAAGAGACAAATCTTTTGATAAAAAATTTCTTCGCTAAATTTAAAAGAGAAGAAGACAGAACTATCGGCAAATCGTTAAATTAAATATACTTACTAAAATGCTTAACAACTGATGTGATATTGCAATAGAAACTTTGCTTTTTCATATATTTGGAATGACTAACCTACACTGAATTGCAACAACACAATATGATTACGAGTAACGATGATTGTACGTGTTAATGCAGTTGAAACAATTAGAAATTACTGTCTAATAATCAACATTCCACGAAGCGTAATTACAACAAGAAAATACTCGAGCAAATGATGATCTTGAGAACTACGCAAATGGTTAATCACTTAAGAAGTTCGTAATTAAGCATGATGACGAAGCAGCGGCATACACGTACAACAAGATAAGAAAAACATGAAGTGAAATGTAGCAGGAAGGTGTGGCGTTCATCACATGA